ATGTAATGGCATTATGATAAAGATCCTTTTGCTGCTATTTTTGTTAAGTTTGGTGGTCACAAATAGATTATGAAAATGATACAGAGGAAATTGGCATGAAAGTCCCAAGCTTTCAAGAGTTTTTGCCTTATGCAGCAACACAAACACAGCCTAAGATAGGGTTTAGAGGTAAAACCCTTTGAGAGAGGAGAATTTATTAAGGATCTCTGCTTCGCGTTTAAGAGCATTTTCTTTCTTCATTTCCCAATCGGGTTTCTTCGAGTTAGCTGCTTGAACTTCCTGCACCACGTTGGGGATTGAGTTCGCCACCATTTTCTGACCATAGCTCAGATCAACCTTCTCTTTCTTCTTGTTCCCGATATAACGGGTCAGCTCAGTCCGTCTAGCTTGAAGCTGAGCGATTTGCTCGTCAATTTGACGGATTGTCTCAGAGTTTGTATCGACTTCCGTCTGGATATTGCCTAGCTTGTCCTTTAAGTCGCTGTATTCGTACTTGAGAGATGCGACTTTGGCTTTGTTAAGCTCGAGAGCAGAGAAGAACCTATCTGCTTCATCTATCACGCCTTTGTTCTCCTGAAATACTTCGCTGAATGTTGGAATCTCTTCGATAAGCTTCAACCTCACTATTTCCTCAGCTGAAATGCTTGGATCTTTCCTCAGTTTTGCAGCCAAGCTTGCTATCTCCGCAGCTTCATTGGACATGAACAATGAAGAGAAATCTTTATCCAGAAGCGATGAAAGCTTCATCCGAGCTTCTGCCCATTCGTATTCTCTCATTGGAGAGCTCGTATTAACGGGAAGAGATGAAGACTCATGTACCGCTTCTGAAGGCTGCTGCTGAAGAAGGTTCTCTAGAGAGTTCAGATAACTGTCAAACTCTTCCGCGTTAATTTCCACAGGAGAGTGGGAGACCGCAAGGACACCGTTCATAGGAGAAACATAGATATGAGGAATCGAGACATCTTCTTCTTCATTTGCAAAGTTACCTCTTCGTTTCTTCATTCTCTTGCCGGTTTTCGTTGCAGCTGGTTCGTTCTCTTCTTCGTCCAAGTCAATCACACCACCTTGTGGCTGTCTCGTGGAGCGTCTCAAGGAGGATTGACGAGATGACTTCTGACTAGTGGCTGGAGTTGTTACGACTTCTTTATCTTTCTTTTTCCTGTTACTAGCTCGCGGAGTTGCTTTAGGTTTTTGTTCAACAGGTTCATAAGTCTGTGTCTGAATCGGTTTTCTCTTCCTCTGGCTGTAACGCGAAGTTGTTCCTTCTTTCTTCCCATCCTCAGCATTCTCATCTTGATTCTGTCCTTCTTTGGATGTCTCTTCAAATAGAGATGCAGCATCAACT